GGTAAGAATAAAAATCTTTGCTATTAATACTTTACATACAGTACTAGGAATCTGAACAACAATAGTATCCATTCAAAAATGTATTCAAGTAGCCATTCTTTAAGAATATAAGATGGAATTCTGATTCAATAAAGACTTTTGAATTTACATGCTGAATGTTGTGACAACTAAGAGAGTATCCGAAAGTTATTTTTTTACAAAGGCAAGAGTAAAAGTAATTTGGTAAACATAATATGACTAAGATATTTTTCTGCACTATGGGTGTTTTAGAAAACAAACTATAAAAGTTGTAAGATCAAATCAAAAACCCCCTAAATTTAAAAATTATTATTTAAAAGCTTCACAAATAATTTCTCTATATACTACCTTATATAAATTTTAAGAATGTTTATATTCTTTAGCATGCATATATGATATCTTTTTACAGACGCTTAAATTTGGTATTTTCCATAACATTGTGAAGTAGGTCGATTTTCAACAATTCTCCAATAGAAACAAAGAACAAACTGATAGAGACTAAGGTCCTGTGATAGGTTACCGAGGACAAGAATTGAACTCACAGAGTATCAAAACCCAATAAACCGCTTTGCACACTTAAAATTTATTTGTATTTTAATACTTGGTGCTCCCTGAAAGATCTGCAAAGCAAAGCTTACACATACTTTTTACTTTTAACAATAAAATCTGTATAGCCAAAAATTAGCTGGGCGTGGTGGCGCACGCCTGTAAACCCAGCTACACAACGGGCTGAGGCAGGAGAATCGCTTAAACCTGGGAGGCGGAGGTTGCAATGAGTGGAGATCCTGCCACTGCACTCCATCTTAGGTGACAGAGTGAGACTTCATCTCAAAAAAAAAAAAAAAAAAAAAAAAAAAAAATTCTGTGTAGCCAAATTTTATCTTTTTCAATAAACAATACATTGACCACTTTTCTGGTTTTCACAGTGGCCATTTACACTGTTCTGATTAAAAAGTGTACGTAGATTCCTAAATGGAATGTATCTTAAATCCCTAGCCTTCTCAGGCTAGAGTGGGATTTCACATTTTCTATGAGCTGTTGATAATTGATACACGCATGAGAGCATAGCTGACACAATGGACAAACAAAGATAAACACAGCTCTCTGTTCTAAATTGTTCTTTAATGTGGTGCTTTCCTTTCTCAATTTGAAAGTGCTTTTTAGCTCTACAGCAACTACTAAGCGATAAAAGTATAAAGAAAACTTTTATTCCATATTAATTTGATAAAAAAGTCACTATCATGTGAGATATTCTACTTAAAAGGCAAAACACTTAAAATATGGCCTTTCCTCCCATATAAAATTTAAACACAAAGAAATGTTTTAATACTGAATGTAATCTAAACCAGGCAATTCGGTTTGGAGGCTTGATACTCTCTATGTAGTTTCTACTGATGTAATGAATTTTAAAAAGATGATTTATGTTAATTTTTTATCAGAACAGAGGGGGGATTGTACATTTTCTATGAGCTGTTGATAATTGACGCATGTAGTAAAATACCATATGTGTTCTAAACTCTCCATCTTTTTGTTTAGTACAATCAAGGACTATATAGTTACTTAAATGGTTTGGGTTGTATGAGTATCAGAAATACTTTAAATTAAAAGTAAAGAAGTCAGTGATCAAAGTTCATAACTGTAATAAATAACAGCTGGCCATACCTTGTAACCCTCCCATTCCAAAGAGGTTTAGACCCGTATCTTTCACAGGCAAGTCTCCTGCGGTCTCATCAGTTGGACCAGACATGGCCTAGCTGTGGAAAAAAGAAAATTCAAATAAACTCTTTCCAAGTTATTACATTAACGATGCAATGGAATGAATCAAATAAAATGAAAAAGGGACTAGAACTTTAATGGGCATCTTATTGTCCATATGTGCTGCTTGGAGAAGATGAAAGCTTCTACTCTAAAAGTACTACTACATTCAATCATGGAGACAGTGTTCCTTTCAACAGTATATTTCCTACAGTTTGCTTAGGAAATGAGGTAAGATTATCATTTAAGAAATACCTCCTCTCCATTCCTTTCCTCTCCCCAGCCTCCAAAAGAGAGCAGGTATCTTGGAAAAAACTCAGGTCAGGAACTTGATTCAAATGGTTGCTCTATCATTAACAAACTAGTCAAGCCACCTAAACTCTCTGAGTTTCAGTCTCTCAGCTTTAAAAAGGAGAAAATAATACCTATCTCAGAGTTATTCTAAGGGTAAATGGGATGAGTAAAGTAAAAGCACTGATCACATGTGCCTGGGATGTCAATATTACTCAAATATTAATTGTCTGCTTGATGCACAAATGAGTGGGCAGTTCCAAGTTTTGTGAAAGAGGTTTCGTTGCATAAATTTACCAGCTGGTTTAGGTTTTTTTTGTGTGTGTGTCTTGCCTTTGTTGCCATGAGGCTTAGGTTCCGCCCAGAGTTCAACTACTTCAACATATAGGCTGTCTAGCTAATTCTGGTATTTTTATAGTTTCTATTCTTTACAGAAATCCACCACAGTAGCTTTATTTTGAATGTGGATATGAGTGGTCCACATAGTATCTAGTATGCAAAAATAAAGGATTTTATATTTTCATTTCAATCTACCTAGTAAGCTAAATGCAAACTGTGAATGAAGATACTCTAAAGGGCAGAGTTCTTAAGCTCTAGAATATTGGTTCTAGAATGTAAAGACCAAGAGAGTAGCAAGCTTCATTGTCTTGTTCACCTCTGTATTCTTTGAGGCTAGCATAAAGCTTGGTGCATTCTGAGAGCAGGCATTCATTAAACAGTTGTTGAGTGAGTGAATGGAGTCCGTGGGGTTTCAAGGTCTGTGAACCCAGAGATGGTTTACCAAATTTTGTATGTATACGTATATATGTAAGATCTTTTAAGGAGGGTTCATAACTTTTGTTATAACTCACAAATGGTGGAGAACCATTGCATTTTGCTGTTACAGAAACAGCTAACAGACAAATCCTTGGGAGATCATCTACTTCTTTTGGAAGTACTGCTATAGAAAAGGTCAATTTTTAGGATCCTGTTGACACACAGGCGCATGTACGAAAATGATTAGTTTTCCATGACAGAGTTAAGGTCACTTTAAAAATAATAAGAATGATGATAATGATGATGATGATGTTGATGGTGTTAACATTCATTGAATGCTTATTATGTGCCAGGTACTGTTCTAAGTGCTCTGTTATAGGAATTAATGAAGTGTCTCGCCATATCCTTGTGAGGTTGTTACTCAAATGATTACCGTTTTACAAATGAGGAAGCTGAGACACAGATTAGTTAACTAAGGTAGTAGTTGGAAGTATTAATAGTTGTGTCTGGTGATATTTTGGTTGTCACAACAAGGAAGGGGGATGCTACTGGCATCTAGTGAGTAGAGGCCAGGGATGATGTTAAATATCTTACAGTGCTTAGGAGACATAATAATGAATTATCCAGCCCAAAATGTTAATAATAGTGTGGAAGCTGAGTAATCCTGCACAATGCTGCAATGCCTCTCCAACACCATCTCATGTTATCCTTCTTTGCTCAGTATGCTTCACCTACATTATTCTTTACTTTCCTCGAACCCCCCACACCCTTGTGTACTCAAGGCCTTTGTATTAGCTGGCTCCTCAATCTCTAGAGTTCAGCTCACTTTCTCAGACAGGCTTTCCCTGACCATCCTATGTTAGAGTAGTCTTCCCTACATTTCTTCACTGTTTATTTCTTTTCTTTTCTTCTTTTTTTTGAGACAGGGTTTTGCTCTGTTGTCCAGGCTGGCCTAGCATTCATGGGTTCAAATGATCCTCCCACCTCACCCTCCCAAGTAGCTGGAACTACAGGTGTGTGCCACCACGCCTGGCTTGTTTCTCTTATAGCAACTGTCTCTATCTGAAATTATCAAATAAATTATTGTTTGTCTCCATGAAAAAAGGATAAACATCTTGAGACGGGTATTAGTCTCGTTCACAGCTGTTCAGGAACAGTGCCTGGTACAGGGTAGGAATCAACATTAATATATATTGAATGATTATTGGCTGGGCGCGGTGGCTCACACCTGTAATTCCAGCACTTTGCGAGGCCGAGACGGGTGGATGACTTAAGCTCAGGAGTTCAAGACCAGCCTGGCCAACATGGTGAAACTCCGTCTGTACTAAAAATACAAAAATTAGCTGGGTGTGGTGGCGCACGCCTGTAATCCCAGCTACTCGGGAGGCTGAGGTAGGAGAATCGCTTGAACCCGGGAGGAGGAGGCTGCAGTAAGCTGAGGTCTTACCACTCCACTCCAGCCTAGGCGACAGAGCAAGAACCTGTCACACACACACACAAAAGAATAAAGAAAAAATATTTATTTGAATGAATAAATGAATACCAGGCACTGAGATTAAAATGGCAAGCAAAATCCCCGCCTTTATGAAGCTATCAAGTTATGGAGGTAATCAGACGATAAACAAATAATATATAATTAAGCAAACAATAGAACAGTCAGGAGTTTTAGGGTCAACCAATCAACTCCTAATCCAGGGCAAATGAGCAAACTGTGTTAGGGACCTACAACTTGCAGGATCTGGATAGAGATGGCAATTAGCAGCATCAACTCTCACCTTCATGGCTGGGATACATTTCAGGTTGGTCCTGGATGTGAGGATAAAGGGCGGGCTGTGATTCAGGCCTGAGGATGTGGAGGTGTCTCGGGCTGGGCTGCTTTCACGCGAGCAGAACTCCAGGGCCAACTCCAGGGCCTTCTCCAGACCGCAGAGCGGACCCTAGGACCCTGGCCCGCGCTGCAGTGGGGAGGGTCCGCAACCTCCACCCACCCCCATGCTCCCGCATCCTCCCGAGTACTCACCACTCCACTGGCCCTGCAGCTAGCTACCGTTGCTATAGCGCCGACAGCGTGGCGGGTGCCTGGCCGAGAGGAGCACGGGAGAAACATGGTAGGCACCCGTTGCCTCCTGGGAAATGTAGTTCTCCTTGGACTCCAGCCTGTTTGCTGGCGGTGTAGCGGACTACGCTCTTCCAGCTGTCGGACCTGGGAAATTCTCCTGTTCTAAATCTCGAGGCACTCGCGGGCGTCGCCGCGGTGCATTCTGGGAGTTGTAGTTTTCTCCACACTGAGGGAGAATGGCTCCGGACGGGAGCAGAACGCTGAGAGAACTACATACAGGAGGCGGGGTCCAGGGCGAGGGGATCTACGCAGCTTGCGGTGGTGAAGGCGGCTTTAGTGGCAGCATGAAGCGCACCCCGACCGCCGAGGAACGAGAGCGCGAAGCTAAGGTATGTGGGGCTCCCGGAGCTTGGGGATCTTCGTGCGCTGTGAGCTAGGATCAGGGAACCAGAAGGGCTTGGTTTGATGGCGAGCGGATGCACGGTGTTAAGCTAAGGGATGACAGGGCCTTGTCAGCAAGGGACCTGGAGACATTGGAGGGGGGTGTTACAAATTATTCTTCAGGATGCAGGCCGAGTCTTGTTGGATCGACTCAAAAATGAGAAGCAGGATACCCATTTCCTTGTCCTTCCTCTGCACCTATTCCTTGGTTAAATTTGTAGCCAGCTCTGTGCCTCAGTTTACCGGATTCTCAGGTGACTGTGATCATACCAGCTGTGCTTTCTCATAATGGTCTCTGAGGACTGAGATCGGCTTAGATGAAATATCTGTGCGGTCAGCTGTGTTTCTTTGGAACAATTGTCTCAGTGACCGGCTGATAACAGTTTGTGTCTTTCAGCGTTGTGGATATGAATCTTTAACTACATTGCTCCTCTCTACCTTTGGTGTTCAGTTTCCGGTAGTTGCCATTCCATGGGATGACCATAATAATGGCAACAGCGATTTAAAAAACATTTACTGTGGGTCAGGCACTGAGTTAGGTGCATAATATTTAAATTATTTCATATCATTGTCACAGCAGATTACAAGATAGGTATTATACAGATGAAGTATAAACAATAGCCCTGCTTCACAGATGAAGAACTGAGACTCAGAAGCATTGAGTGTTTTCCTTTCTCTCATTCTCAAAGTCAGATCCTGTTGATTTGTCTACGTGTATTGGGAATCCGTCCACTTTTTTTTCCCACCTCCACTACCTTGGACCTAGCTACCATTATCTTTTTAATGGACTGTTGGAATAGCCTCTTGATTGGCCTATACTCACTCTACACCCTAACTTAACTCTTCTTCCACCTTCTCTGCCTTCCCCCAACTACCATTGTCTTCTGCACACCATAGAGTAAGATCTTCATAAAATGCAAATCTAATCATGTCCCTTTCCTTTCTCCTTACTCTGCCAACCACCTGTTTAAAAATATTCCATGGCTTTCTGTTGCTCTTAGGATAAAGACAAAACTTCACATTGCCTACAAGATCCTGCGTGGTGTGGACCCTACCTGCTTTCACAACCCCATTGGACATGACACTCTGCTGTCTGCCTCCCAGTCACTTTGGCCTCTTAAAAGTCATTCTTCCCTGTACTTCATCTGGCTTCAGGGCCTTTGCACACGTTATTTGCTGCCTACTATATGTTAGGCAAATATTGGCAGTGAGTATCAGTGTTAAATAACATAGACACAGTTCTTGTTTTCATAAAATTTCATCTTACAAGTGAGTCTGTTTTAGGGCAATGCACCTAAGGATTTAAAATTTAAAATCTGCTCTATATTGACTTGAGTTATCGCAGTATTTCATGAGGGACTGGAAGTTTTCATGCTTGAGTCTGCAAATGATGTGGATAATATACTAAAGATAAGCACAAAGAGGGTGACTCTTCTGCTTTAGTCTACACAGTGCAAAGAAACAAATGTCGCCTCATGGTGTTGTGCACGATGTCTTTCTCATCTTTCAGGTTTATTTTTAAAGTAATTCATTTATTCTGTGAAGATTTATTGAGCACCTATTATTTGCCATACGTTGGGATTATAATTTTGGCTAAAATAGAATCCCGGCACGAAAGGAGCTCTTACTCTATTGAAACCATAACTATTGCCTGTGAGGTAGTTATTAGTGTCATCTATATTTTAGAGATGTAGAAATTGAGACTTGTAGGTAAATCGTGACTTGCTCAAGGCCACTTGGTTGCTAAGTGGAACTAGCACTCTGAGCCAGGTCTTCTGACTCCAAATTCAAGGCTTTTTCCATTTTTTGCTTGTGAAACATGTTGAATTAGTAGAGCAAGTTGTCTTCCTTTTTTCTTTAACAAATTTGCTCTTCATTTAAAATTTGTTTGCTTAATATTATTGGTTAGAACAAAGTATAAGTAGTTGTTTTAAATCTTAAATGTAAAATGTCCAATGGCTCATGAATTATTTTCTCTTTTTCTAATCAATTTTATTGAGGTATAATTTACATACAGTTATTTGCAACCATTTCTGTGTACAATTTGATGCCTTTTGACAAATGTATATGCCTGCAAAACCACCACAATGGGAATAGCGAACATTTCTCTCCTTCTCAGTTCCCTCCCTCCACCTCGGCCCCCAAGCAACCACTGATCTGTTTTTTGTCTCTGTAGATGCATCTGTATTTTCTAGATTTCATATAAGTGGAAGCATACAGTGTATACTTTTGGGTCTTTTTTTTCATTCAGCGTGATGATTATAGAGATGGTGTCTTGCTGTGTTGCCCAAGCTGGTCTGGAACTGCTGGGCTGAAGCCATTCTCCTGCCTCTGCTACCCAAAGTGTTGGGATTATAGGCGTGAGCCACTGTGCCTGGTCAGCATAATGATTCTGAGATTAATCCATGGTGTTGTATGTATCAATAGTTTGTTCCTTTTTATTGCAGATTAGTGGCCCACTGTATGGAGATACCACATGTTGTTTATTCATTCACTTGTTGCTGGACCTTAGGATTGTTTCTGGTTTTGGACCCTTATGAAAAAAGCTGCTTTGACCATTCATGTATGAGTCTTTCCATTTTCATTTCTGTCAAAAAAAGCTGCTATGACCATTCATGTAAGAGTCTTTCCATTTTCATTTCTGTCAGGTAATGCCCAGGAGTAGAATTGCTTAGTTATAGGGGAGTTCTTTGTTTAACCTTATGAAGAAACTGTCAGTTTTCCAAAGTGATTTGGCCATTTGTTTTAGTTTCCTATGGCTGCTGCAACAAGTTACCACAAACTTGGTGGCTTAAAGCAACAGAAATTTATTCTCTTTCAGTCCTGGAGATGTGGCATTGAAATCAAGGTGTCAACAGGGCCATACTCCCTTTGAAGGACTCTAGGGGAAACTCCTTCCTTGCCTCTTCCAGCTTCTAGTGGTCCCTGGTGTTCCTTGGCTTGTGGTAGCATCACTTCATAACTTCTCTGCTTCCATCTTCACATGGCCTTCTTCTCTCTGTTTCTGTGTCTCAAATCTCTTTCTCCTTTCTTTTAAAAGGATGCCAGTTCTTGGATTAGGACCCATCCTAAATCCAGGATGATCTTGAGGTCCTTAAGAGCCTCAACTTAATTACATTTGCAAGGACACTTTTTCCAAATAAGGTTACATTCACACTTGCCGGGTTTCTGGATTTGGACATACCTTTTTGGGGGATAATATTCAAATGCACTGCACCCTTTTACATTCTTACCAACTGTTGGTGAGAACGTAAAATGAGAGTTCTACTTGTTTCATATCCTTGCAATGCTTGTCAGTCTTTTATATTTTAACCATTCTAATAGGTGTGCAGTGATATTTGTGATTTTAATTTGTATTTCAGTGATGTCTAATGATGTTACATATCTCTCTTTTTGTAAATCTTTATTGAGGTATAATTGCATACTATAAAATTCACCTGTTTTCAGTGTAGGACTTAATGGTTGGTAGCATATTTGCAGAGTTGTGTAACTATCACCACAGTCTTATTTTAGAACAGTTCCCTTCCAGAAGAAACTGTATTCATTTGCAGTTATTTCCCAATTCTACTTCATCCCTAGGGAACCATGAATCTACTCTGTTCTTTAGATTTGCCTTTTCTGGACATTTTTGTATAGATGGACTCATACAATATGTGGTCTTTTGTGTTCGGCTTCTTTCACCCAGGATGTTTTTGAGGTTCATCCATGTTACAGCATGTATTGGTACTTTGTTCCTTTTTATTACACAGTAGATAGAATTCCAGTGTCAGGCCGAGTGCAATGGCTCATGCCTGTAATCCCAGCACTTTGGGAGGCCAAGGCAGGTGGATCACCTGAAGTCAGGATAACTTAGATCAAGACCAGCTTGGCCAACATGGTGAAACCCTGTCTATACTAAAAATACAAAAATTAGCCAGGAGTGGTGGCACATGCCTGTAATTCTAGCTACTCAGGAGGCTGAGGCATGAGAGTCACCTAACCTGGCAGGCAGAGGTTGCAGAGAGCCCAGATTGTGCCACTGCATTCCAGCCTGGGTGACAGAGTGAGACTGTCTCAAAAAAAAAAAAAAAAAAAAAAAAGAATTCCAGTGTCAGGATATACCATGTTTTGCTTATCTCTTCACCAGTTGATGGCTATTTGATTTGTTTCTACATTTTGACCATTATGAAAAATGCTACTGTGAACATTTGCACCCTAGTTTCTGTGTGGATGTGTTTTCATTCCTCCTGGGTAGATATCTAGGAGTGGAATTACTGGTCATATGGTAAATCTATGTTTAAAATTTTAAGAAACTGACAAACTGTTTACTTGTGTGGTTATACCATTTTACATTCCCCACTAGCCATTTTGAGGGCTACAATTTTGTCACATCCTTGTCAACACTTGTTATTGTCTGTCTTTTCTATTGTAGCCATAATAGTGGGTGTGAAGTGGTATCTCATTGTGGTTTGATTTGCATTTCTCTGATGGGTAATAATGTTATGCATCTTTGCATGTGCTTATTGGACATGTATGTATCTTCTTTTATGAAGTATCTGTTCAAAATCTTTGCCCATTTTTTTGTTGGATTGTTTGTGTTTCTATTATTAAGTTTTATGAGTTCTTTATATTTTCTAGATATAAATCCTTTGTTTACTATGTGTGTTGCAAATGTTATCTTCCATTCATCTAGGTTACTTAATAGTTTTTAAGAAAGGTCCAATTTATCAATGTTTATTTTTATGATTCGTGCTTTTTGTGTCATATCTATGCAACCTTTATCCCAAAGTCACAAAGATTTCTTGTTTGCTTTTCAAATTAAACTTTGTCATCTCCATAATGGGTACTTAGTTTTTATTTTTCTTTTCTCTTTGAAATAATTTAGACCGTAGTTTCTTCCTTGTGATTGCTTATGCTATAGATTTTTATGCTGTTTCCAAGTCTGGAGGGTGAATAAGATGGTTGGACC